ACCGACAAAAATTTAGTATTTGGTCCATTTCATCCCCTAAATATTAACCGATCTTTCCCAAAAACAATAGGGGTCTTCATTGGCCAGAACCCATCCTACATGCAAAATTTCGTGAAAATTAGTCCATAACTGTGGCCTGTATCGTGTTTACAAATTATAATGGACAGACGGACGGACACACATGTCTAGATCGACTCAGCTAGTCGAGGTATGACGATCGGTATACTTAAAGGTGGGTCTACGACCAATATTTCGCGGCGTTACAAACTTTTGGGGCTGCACAAAGCTATAATACCCTGACAACATAGTTGTGTAGGGTATAAATATAATAATTTTAAAAATATTAAAGTTTAATTGACGTTTGGTTGCCATATACCCAAATTGTTCATAAGATTTCTTTGATATATATTACAGCTACCGATTTCATTTGTTCGGAGACTTACAGTGAAATTTGATGAAGATTATATTTTCCATTAACAATTTTCCCCTGAAGTTGAGTTTTGTGGGAGAAATCGACCCGTTATGAAAACAACTCTAAAAATTGCCTCTATCAAATGATAAAAAATAAATATCAAATTTTCGACTGATATTTTGTGGATATGTATTACAAATAGCGATTTATATTGGGCGGGCCCCTATCGTAAAATTTGATGGAGAATATTTTTTTCATTGGCAGCTTTCCCCTAAAGTGGAGTTTTGTGGGAGAAATTAAGCCTTTATTACAACAATTCTATAAATAGGCACTATCTAATAATAAAAAAATATATATCCAATTTTAACCAATATATTTTGATATATGTTAGAGCTACCGATTTCTTTTGTTCAGGGACCCATAATGAAATTTGATGAAAAATATATTTTCCATTGACAATTTTCCCATAGAGTGGAGTTTTGTGGTAGAAATCGACATGTACTGAAAACAACTCTGAAAATAGCCACTATCAAATTATAAAAATAAATATCCAATTTTCGATTGATATTTTGTGGATATATATTACAGATACCGAGTTCTATTGTTCGGAGACCAATAGTGGACTGATATTTTGTGGATATCCAATTTTCGACTGATATTATGTGGATATATATTACAGATACCGATTTATATTGTTCAGGGACCCATAGTGGAATTTTATGGAGTATCATTTTGTTATTGGCAATTTGCACCTAAAGTTGAGTTTTGTGGGTGAAAATAGCCCATTGTGAAAAAACCTTTAAATAGGCACTATTGAATTATAAAATATATACATATCTAATTTTTAACCGATATTTTATTGATATATATTACAGATACCGATTTTTATTGGTCGGGGGCCCATTGTAAAATTTGATAAAGAATATGTTTTCTATTGACAACTTTCCTCTAAAGTGGAGTTTTGTGGGAGAAATTAACCCATTGTCAACAAAAACCTTTCAATGAGCACTATGAAATTATAAAAACTATCCAATTTTTAATCGATATTTTATTGATATATGGTATAGCTACCGATTTCGTTTCTTCAAGGACTCATAATGAAATTTGGCGAAGAAATTATTTTCCATTGACAGCTTACCCCTAAAGTGGAGTTTTGTGGGAGAAATTAGCCCATTATGAACATAATACTTTGAGTTGGCACTATGGAATTATAAAAATTATATATTCAATTTTTAACCGAAAATTTTTTTGATATATGGTGTAGTTACCGATTCCTTTTGCTCCAGGACCCATAACGAAATTTGATACAGAATATTTTTTCCATTGACAGCTTTTCCCTTGAGCGGAGTTTTGTTAGAGAAAATATCCCATTGTGAACAGAAACCTTTAAATAGGCTCAATTCGATTCCATACAATATATATAAAATTATTAACACCTTTTTTTATATATATATACATATATTTACCGATTTCTTTTGTTCAGGGACCCATAACAAAATTTTATGAAGAATATTTTTTCCATTGACAGTTTGTCCCTAAAGTGTAGTTTTGGGGGAGAAATCGACCCACTTTTGGAAACAACTCTTAAAATAGGTAATAGCGATTTATTAAAAATATATCCACATTTGAACCGTTATCCACATTTGAACCGTTTTATTCATATATGTTTGATATATTGGAACTTAAAGTTTGAAGACTTATAGTGAAATGTTATGTAGAATATTGTTTTCATTTATATAACCTCTCTAAGTTGACGTTATGTGGTTGAAATTTACCCTTTATGAAAACTACCCTTTAAATAGGCACTATCGACGTATTAAATTTATAGCCAAAACTGAACTGATATTTTTATTGATTTATGCCCTATATAACGATGTCTGATGTTCGGAGACTTATAGTGAAATTTTATGTAGATTAATATTTCCGTTCACACCATCTCCCTACAATGACTTATTGTGGGAGAAATCGATCCATTATGAAAACAACTCACCAAATCGCCCCTATCGAATTATTTAATAAATAGCAACATTTGTAATGATATTATTATTGATATATGTTCCATATAGCGATTTCTGTCGTTCGGAGACATATAGCGAAATTTTATATAGAATATTTTTTCCAGTTACGTCATTTCTCTAAAGATGGTAAAAATTGAGACCTTATGAAAACAACACTTAAAATAGACACTATAAAATTATTGAATTTATAATCAAATTTTATATATACCGATTTTTGTAGTTCGGAAACCCATAATGAAATTTGATGTAGAATATTTTTTTCATGTATGTCATCTCTCTAAATTAAAGTTTTGTGGGTGAAATTGGCACCTTATGAAAACAACTCCTAAAATAGGCAGTAACGAATAATTAAAAGCATATACGGGGTCTATATTAAAGTCCCAACCGTTTTTTTGTTATTTTGAATGCCTGTTAACGAATGGTGGTGGGTGTAAAAATTCAGTCCGGCAGAACTTAGAGACGATTTTACTTCTTTTGCTTAAAGAATATTTATACCCTTCACCACACTGTGGTTCAGGGTATTATGTCTTTGTGCATATGTTTGTAACATGCAAAAGGAATCGAGATAGACACATGGTTCCATTTGAGAACATGCATAGAATCACTTTCTGAGTCCAATTGAAATTGGGAAAAATCGGTACAGATTTAGATATAGCTCCCATATATAGTTTCGTCCGATTTCATGTAAATGGTGCCCCAAAGTCCCTATATATCTTTCGATTTGCACGAAATTTGGCATAGCGTAATGAGTTAGGTCTAGAATGATGTGTGTTAAGTTTCCTGAAAATCGGTCCAGATTTAGATATAGCTCCCATATATATTTTCGTCCGATTTAAGGTAAATGGTGTACCAAAGTCCTTATATATCTTCCGATTTGCACGAAATTTGGCATAACGTAATGAGTTAGGTCAAGAATGATGTGTGTTAAGTTTCCTGAAAATCGGTCCAGATTTAGATATAGCTCCCATATATATTTTCGTCCGATTTAATGTAAATGGTGTACCAAAGTCCTTATATATCTTCCGATTTGCACGAAATTTGGCATAACGTAATGAGTTAGGTCAAGAATGATGTGTGTTAAGTTTCCTGAAAATCGGTCCAGATTTAGATATAGCTCCCATATATATATTCGTCCGATTTAATGTAAATGGTGTACCAAAGTCCCTATATATCTTTCGATTTGCACGAAATTTGGCATAGCGCAATTGATTAGTTCTAGAGTGATGTGTGCTAAGTTTTCTGAAAATCGGTCCAGATTTAGATATAGTTCCCATATATATTTTCGTCCGGTTTAATGTAAATGGTGTACCAAAGTCCCTATATATATTTCGATTTGCACGAAATTTGGTATAGTGTACTGAATTAGGTCTAGAACGAAGTGTGTTAAGTTTCGTGAAAATCGGTTCAGATTTAGGTATAGCTTCTATATCTGACCAAATGAAAAATTTAGTATCGGTTGCAGAATGACATGTTTATGGATCCAATTTCATTTTACTGGTCCTTTAAAAATTCGATGTCTGTTAGGATTCATCTGATGAATATAGACAAAGTGGTGAATGGTATCATATAGTCGGCCCCGTCCGACTTGTTACTGGTTATTATTTGTGAAAATCCGTTTCAAAAGGTATATTCTTCTCTTGTAATGCAGGGTATATTCATCATAAAATTTTCTATCTTTAGACGACCTTCATATAATAGAATACCTACAGAAGAATAGATCGAGGGACTATAAAATTCATGGATCTAAAAAATGTGGCAATAAAACTGATCGGTTACTAAGTTAAATATCCGTTAACATTTTTTTTCTAAAAATACTTTGTATTTTTTCGAAATTTATTTTTCTGGAGAATGTCTCACAAAAGTTCTGGAATTTCGAAGCGGAATGAAAATGCCACAAAAATCTCATGAAAACAAAAAGTGAATTTATAAATAAAAAATTTCAATAATAACCCTTCCCTACTCAAAATCTCATATTCTATGATGGCTATTTTACAGTTAGAAAAAAATTTAAAAATATTCAGAATCGTTTCGAATATTGAAGAAAATTCTGAGAAGTCATTAAAAACTCCCAAACAAATGGGAACAATCACAACAAAAGGGTGTCACTTCCCATTTCGTCAACAATCAATAATAAGTGGATCAAATTTAACCAAAGTTAATTTTTAATAATAAAAATAACCCTTTGTGTGTCTGTGTGTGCCTCACAGCGTCTAAGTCGGGCTTAGGGCCAATGTATGGGTGTGAAAAATACAATAAAACACACGAGCTGACCATGTGGGCCGGTCGTAAATCCGTTAACGACTAATTGAGATAAGATAAAGAAGCAACATAAAGAGAGAGAGAGAGAGAGAGAGAGGGGGCGGGGGAAAACTGAATTTCCAATAAGAAAATATGTGTCTGAAAAACAGTTAACCGATTATGAATACTAAAGACCTAATTATATTAGAACCTGGTCAGAATATTGAGTTGATTTTTATATTTATTTTTTCTATAAATACAACCTGAAGAAGAATTTGGGCAGCAGTCAAAACACAGACGACATTGAAAATAGACAAACGTTTCCGCTCAACATGAAAAGATTTCTCTCGTTGCTACTACTTTTGGGTAGGTTCGAAAATATGGAAAAATTTAGAATCATTTAATTCAAAATTTCCTTTTCTTCATTTTTAGCCCTAAGTTCATTTACTCATGCCGTCTTAAAAGCCTGTGTCTGCGAAGCCGGCCCTGAGGGCCCACCAGGACCAAAAGGTGACCCCGGCATCCAAGGTGAGAAGGGACATCCCGGCTATCCAGGCCTTCCCGGTGCCCAGGGGCCAATTGGTGCACAAGGTGTCAAAGGCCCCACTGGACCACAAGGTTTACAAGGTGTGAATAGAGGTGAACGAGGTCCACCCGGTCCACAGGGACCACCTGGTATATGCGTATGTCCCACAGCACGTGCTAGGGTAACACAAATAAAAGCTTTTCCCGAGTCCACCAACACCATTTATATGAAAATGGAAAATGGCGAGCTGACTCCCGTGCAAAAAGTACAACCAACAGCCGAGCAGAGATCTTTAATTGAAGCCTATCAGAGATCGATGGGACATTATGATGAAAATTATTATGCAGATGATGATGATACTAAAAAATAATTAAATAAATTTTAAACTTAAGAAAAAAATGTTGTTATAATTTATTTTGAAATGGGAATTATTTGGGATCTAGGGTTAAAGGAGAGGAGATTTTTTCATTAAAAACCAGTAAGGAAAGTTCAAAAGTCGGACGGGGTCGACTATATGATACCAAAATTTATAGGGGCTTTGGTGCACCATTTTCATTAAATCGGGCGAAAAGTATATGGGAGATAGACTCAATTAAGAGCGCTGGTCCAAATTGCGTGTAAATCGAACGATATATAAGGACTTTGGTATGCCATATACATAAAATCCAACGAAAATATATATAGAAGCTTTATCTAAATCTGAACCGATTTCCACGAAACTTAACACACATCATTCTACTCTTAATTCAGTACGCTATGCAAAATTTCGTGTAAATCGAAAGATAAATAGGGACTTTGGTTCACCATATGTCTTAAATCGGACGAAAATATATATGTGAGCTATATCTAAATCTGATCCGATTTTCACGAAACTTAACACACATCATTCAAAACTCAATTAGGTGTGCAGTGCCAAATTTCGTGTAAATCGATAGATATATATGAACTTTGGTGCACCATTTACTTAAAATCGGATGATATATGGGAGCTATACCTAATTCTGAACCGATTTTCACGAAACTTAGTACTCACCATTCTCGACCCAATTCAGTACGCTGGTTCAAATTTCGTGCAAATCGAAGAATATATAAGGTCTTTTGTGCACCATTTACATAAAATCGGTCGAACATATACATGGGACCTATACCTAAATCTGAACCAATTTTCACGAAACTTAGCACACATCTTTCTATTTTTACTTCAGTACGCTGTGCCAAATTTCGTGCAAATCGAAGATATATAGGGACTCTGGTACACCATTTATCTTAAATCGGAAGAAAATATGTATGAGAGCTATATTTTAATTTGATCGGATTTTCACGAAACTTGGCACACATCATTCTAGAATTAATTCAGTACGCCATGCTAAATTTCGTGCAAATCGAAAGATATAAAGGGTCTTTGGTGCACCATTTACATTAAATCGGAAGAAAATATATATGGGAGCTATATCTTAATCTGAACCGATATTCACGAAACTTTCATTCTAGGGTTTATTCAGTACGTTCGAAGGATATATAGGGTCTTTGGTACACCATTTACCTTAAATCGGACGAAAATATATATAGGAGCTATATCTAAATCTGTACCAATCTGCTCGAAACTTAGAATATATCATTCTGGACCTAATTTAGTACCTTATGCCAAATTTCGTGCAAATCGAAAGTTATGTAGGGACTTTGTTGCCCTATTTACCTTAAATCGGACGAAAATATATATAAGAGCTATATCTAAATCTGAACCGATTTTCTTCAATAGGATTCGTCCTTGGACCAAATAAGTGACTTGTGCAAATTTTCATCCAAATCGGATCATAAATGCGACCTGTACTTTGTTTACAATTTAACATCTACAAACGGACGGACATGCATAAATCGACTGAGAAAGTGATTCTATGCATATTTTCAAAAGGAACCATGTGTCTATCTCGTTTCCTTTTGCCTGCTACAAACATATGCACCTGCACCACAGTGTTGAAGAGCCTACCCAATTGGAATAAAATGTGATTATTCTAATTGGAAACAGAACAATGGGATAGCCCAAGAATGCAACGGTACAAATGATGATGTCTCACATTTCGTTATTCAGCGGCACCATGGATCAAGTGGACATTGAATGGTCACAATGTGTGCGTCTCTTTGTGTGTGTGTGTGTGTGTGCTTAGCTTATCGAGGGCAGAAGCTATAAAACTCGGCTTAAAACCATTTATCGATAATGAAAAACACAAAACATAGACCATAAATTATTTACGACTAATGAAGACAAGTCAGAGGAGGGGGAGGGGAAATGGGGAAAACCAACTTTTCATTGATACAACCCAAAATCGGATTTTTTTTTTTTGGAAATATGAATGGAAATTGGTAATTATGACAATCATACCCTAAAGAAGGTGTAATATAAAATAGGCGGCAGATAGATTTTGAAAATTAGTAACATTTTAGTCGTAGCAGAGCAAACAACAAAATTTATGAAATAAAAAAAAAAATACTTTTTTTCTAAACATGAAAATATTGCTGGCTTTCCTATTAGTTGCGGGTAAGTTCGGGAGAAAAAATATTCTTTATTTTTTCCAAAATATTTTTTTAATTTAAATTTGTTTAAGGTTTCAGCACCTCTACCCACGCCCTCCTGAAATCATGCGTCTGTGAACAGGGCCCAGATGGTCCGCCCGGTCCCCAAGGCCAATTGGGTGCCAAAGGCGAAAAGGGCGACAGGGGTGTGACCGGTGTTGTTGGCGCCCAAGGACCCACCGGACCCATAGGCCAAAAAGGTGATCGAGGACCACCAGGTCTTCTCTCGCCGGCAATCGGTCCAAAGGGTCTACCCGGTCCACGTGGACCAACCGCACCTTGCCGGGTATGCCCAAAACCACGTTCTACTGGTATTGAAATTGAGGCGGAATTGGAACCGCATACAATTTATCGGGTAACTGAAAGTGGTGATTTGGCACCAATACGAAAATTATATCCAACACCGGCTGTACGGTCACTTGTTAAGGAATATGTGGAAGCTCTGAGGGAGGAAGAGGAGGGTGAAAGGAGAAAATAAATGGCGAGGTGAAATGGTTTTGAAATAAAGTGATACTATTTGTAATTAAGACAAAATGTAGAGTTTTTTTTATTTGTGGGCGGATACATGGCGGGACATATTTTAGACAATTTCGAGAGAAATTTTCAGAAATTTTTTTTTTTAAAAAATCCACGCCCTTCACCACACTGTGGTTTGTAACAGGTCAAAATAATCGAGATAGACCCATGGTTCATTTTGAGAATATGCATAGAATCACTTCCTGAATCGATTTATGCATGTCCGTCCGTCTGTCAATGTTAAGTTGTAAAAAAAGTACAGGTCGCATTTATAATCCGAATTGGATGAAATTTGGCACAGCTCATGTGTTTGGCCCAAGGACGAACCCTATCGAAATTGGAAAAAATCGGTTCAGATTTAGATATAGCTCCCTTATATATCTTCGTCCGATTTAAGGTAAATGGTGCACCAAAGTCCCTATATATTTTTCGATTTGCACAAAATTTGGCATAGCGCACTGAATTAAGTCTAGAATGATGTGTGTTAAGTTTCGTGAAAATCGGTTCAGATTTAGATATAGCTCCCTTATATATATTCGTCCGATTTAAGGTAAATGGTGGACCAAAGTCCCTATATATTTTTCGATTTGCACGAAAATTGGCATAGCGCACTGAATTAAGTCCAGAATGATGTGTGGAAAGTTTCGTGAAAATCGGTTCAAATTTAGACATAGCTCCCATATATATTTTCGTCCGATTTTTGGACAATAGTGCACCAAAGTTCCTATATAGCTTTCGATTTGCACGAAATTTGGCACAGCCTACTGAATTAAGCCTAGAGTGATGTGCGCTAAGTTTCGTGAAAATCGGTTCAGATTAAGATATAGCTCCAATATATCTCTTCGTCCGATTTAAGGTAAATTGTGTACCAAAGACCCTATATATTTTTCGAGTTGCACGAAATTTGGCATAGCGTATTGAATTAAGTCTAGAAGGATGTGTGCAAAGTTTCCTGAAAAGCAGTTCAGATTTAGATATAGCTCCCATATATATATTCGTCCGATTTAAGGTAAATGGTGCACCAAAGTCCCTATATATTTTTCGATTTGCACGAAATTTTGCATAGCGCACTGAATTAAGTCTAGAATGATGTGTGCAAAGTTGCGTTAAAATCGGTTCAGATTTAGATATAGCTCCCATATATATTTTCGTCCGATTTAATGTAAATGGTGCACCAAAATTCCTATATATTTTTCGATTTGCCCGAAATTTAGCATAGCGCACTGAATTAAGTCTAGAATGATGTGTGCAAAGTTTCGTGAAAATCAGTTCAGATTTAGATATAGCTCCCATATATAGTTTCGCCCGATTTTAGGTAAATAGTCCACTAAAGACTCTATATATCTTTCGATTTGCACGAAATTTTGCACAGCGTAATGAATAAGGTCTATAATGATGTGTGTTAAGTTTCGTGAAAATCGGTTCAGATTTAGATATAGCTCCCATATATATTTTCGTCCGATTTAATGTAAATGGTGCACTAAAGTCCCTATATATTTTTCGATTTGCACGAAATTTGGCATAGCGCACTGAATTAAGTCTTGAATGATGTGTGCAAAGTTTCGTAAAAATCGGTTCAGATTTAGATATAGCTCCCATATATAGTTTCGCCCGATTTTAGGTAAATAGTCCACTAAAGACTCTATATAGCTCCAAAATATAGTTTCATCCGATTTTCACCCAAATTGGTGAAGGGTATCATATAGTCGGCCCAGTCCGACTTTACTACTACTCACTGGTTAATAATTAGATTACCCCTCCACACCAACAACAACAATAAATTCCCAACATAGGTAATTCAATTTTTTAATAGAATTTTTTTCTGTTATTTTAATTCGCTCTTAATCTTATCTTTATTTGTTTACAATTATAAATCAAATTTTATTTGCCTTCCGAATTTACAATTTTTTCACCGAACCACTTCACGTCACGTTTCACGATAAGGTATCACAAGCCTTTAGACCCTCACCAATACAGGCGGCATAGGCCATCATATGTGGTATGGTATTTTGTTCATAGACACCGGTAAAGAGATGAGACCATGGTCCCGAAGCAAATACGCCAACATCTTCACCACCATGGGTCTCCGTGGACAATGGCACCGTGGCGGGGAACACATCCTTTGCGGCACCGGTCAATACCAAATTGGGGTCAATACGCTGAGTGGCCTTTTCATTGACATATTCCGAGTAGGAGGGACCATTGGCATAGCTGAGCGGTGAATAGTCCATGCCATCAACATCCGAATTGCGTAGACTGAAAATGTCCGAACCACGATTTTGATAACCAGCCACACTGAAGGTATGCGAGTGATCGGAAGTCACCACAATGAGGGTATCCTCTTCGCTGGTCATTTGCCGGGCCATGGCAATGGTTTCGGAAAATTCTTTTGTTTCATCCAAGGCCATGCGTGCCTTGTTCGAGTGATGGCCCAAATCAATTTTACCACCCTCCACAAAGAGGAAATAGCCCTGCTCATTGTCCTGCTCCAAAAATTCAATGGCCTTTTTGGTCATTTCCGCCAAAGTGGGTTGGGTGTTGGAGGGATTGGCCACCGCTTCCAGGTGGTAATCCATGTGATTGCTGCTAAAGGTACCCAACAAACGATCGATTTGCGACAGATCCACATTGGCCAATTCTTCACGGGTCTCAACATAGGCATTGCGTGGGGATTTTTCTAAATACTCTTCGATGAGATTACGGCCATCGGTACGCAAACCTTTGCTGTAGATTGTCTTGTCAAAGAAATTTCGCTTGCCACCACCCATCATGACCTTGAGGCGGGAACCCACCTCACCATGGATCAGCTGGACAGCAATATCATCGAGGCCATTGTCTGGACCACAATCGGCCTCAAGATCATCATTATTTTCCCAAACACGGTCGGCAGTGTGAGCATAGACCCCAGCTGGGGAGGCATGTGTAATACGGGTGGTGGTAACAAAGCCGGCAGATTTTCCCGCATCCATGGCCCATTTGGCAATGGAGTAAACATGATTGGAGGTATTACGCATAGCTTCACAATTATCCCGTCCGACATGGGCATTAACACCAATGGTGCCATAATTGGCCTTAACACCGCACAAATAGGCAGTGGCCGTGGTTGCCGAGTCTGGGGTAATTTTATCCACACTGTAGGTTTTGGAGAGGCCCGTATAGGGGAATTCTTCAAAGGATAACTTGGTGTGTTCACCATCAATGTAGTTGCGGGCCGCTACCAGGGTTGTCAAACCCATTCCATCACCCAAAAACATGATCACGTTCTTGGCCACCTTGGTATTTTGTTGTTGTCGCTGTTGCTGCTTGATAAACTCCTTGCCCTGATTTAACCAAAATTCTTGGGTATCTTCACCCACCCGTCTTAAAGATCTCGCATCGAAGTGATCATTACGCAAATCGGGATGCATTAATTTATCTTTCAAATCTTCTTCATCCTGTTGGGGGCTGCAGAGAACCGTTTGTATCAGGAGTATGCCCAAAATCGTAACCTTTAGGGAGAACTCCATTTCGAACCACCTCTTCGCGCAAAATTTTCCGTCCAACTAAATCGAAATTGTCCAATACATGGGCCTTAAGTAGAACTTGTTGTTGTTGTCGTCGTCGTCACTTCACGCCTCTACTTTGCACGTCTTACCACTGCTGTCACTTCACATCGATAGCTGTCAAATTAACTAACAATTGTTCTCAATGGCCGATAATTTTGTTAAACAGATTATCGCGATGTTGAATCTTTTTCGAAATAATTCGTTTTTTTTTAATTTTGGGCACTTGTGATAATGAAATCAGAGACGGTGACGTCGAATAACAAAAAAGAAGCGTGCTAATAAAGGAGGGGCGGGGGAAATTTTTTTCCTACACACGGAAAGCGTCCTACGCAAGACGTGGATTTTTTAAAACATATTTTTAGGGTCCTACACAAGGCGTGGATTTTTTAAAACATATTTTTAGGGTCCTACACAAGGCGTGGACTTTTTAAAACATAGTTTTAGGGTCCTACACAAGGCGTGGATTTTTTTAAAACATATTTTTAGGGTCCTACACAAGGCGTGGATTTTTTTAAAACATATTTTTAGGGTCCTACACAAGGCTTGAATATTTTAAAAAAGTATTTTTAGGGTCCTACACAAGGCGTGGACTTTTTAAAACATAGTTTTAGGGTCCTACACAAGGCGTGGATTTTTTAAAACATAGTTTTAGGGTCCTACACAAGGCGTGGATTTTTTTAAAACATATTTTTAGGGTCCTACACAAGGCGTGGATTTTTTAAAACATATTTTTAGGGTCCTACACAAGGCGTGGATTTTTTAAAACATATTTTTAGGGTCCTACACAAGGCGTGGATTTTTTAAAACATATTTTTAGGCTCCTACACAAGGCGTGGATTTTTTAAAACATATTTTTAGAGTCCTACACAAGGCTTGGATTTTTTTAAAACATATTTTTAGGGTCCTACACAAGGCTTGGATTTTTTTAAAACCTATTTTTAGGGTCCTACACAAGGCGTGGATTTTTTTAAAACATATTTTTAGGGTCCTACACAAGGCGTGGATTTTTTTAAAACATATTTTTAGGGTCCTACACAAGGCGTGGATTTTTTTAAAACATATTTTTAGGGTCCTACACAAGGCGTGGATTTTTTAAAACATATTTTTAGGGTCCTACACAAGGCGTGGATTTTTTTAAAACATATTTTTAGGGTCCTACACAAGGCGTGGATTTTTTTAAAACATATTTTTAGGGTCCTACACAAGGCGTGGATTTTTTTAAAACATATTTTTAGGGTCCTACACAAGGCGTGGATTTTTTTAAAACATATTTTTAGGGTCCTACACAAGGCGTGGATTTTTTTAAAACATATTTTTAGGGTCCTACACAAGGCGTGGATTTTTTTAAAACATATTTTTAGGGTCCTACACAAGGCGTGGATTTTTTTAAAACATATTTTTAGGGTCCTACACAAGG